TATTTCAATGATCCAAATTGCCACATTCACGAAGATAAGGTGGAACCGTGGAAGCACAAGGTTAGGATAACAACGGTTGTTTTTTTCTTTTTTCTTTATTCAACTTCGCCAGGTAAAATTACACGAATGAAATGCATTCAATATAAATAGAATATTATACAAGTGACGAATGACGGGGACACCACAATAGTTAAAACCAATAACTTTCTCTGATGAAGGGATGCGTTCCTTTTGTAATAATTAAAAAAGTAATTAATTACAGGTCAAAATAACAAATGCAACGAGCAGCTGGTATTAAACGCGTTATAATTGTCGGAGTACTCACAGCCCTGCATTGCATACAAAGAATGCAACATTTGTTCATGAAAATGATCCGACGTTGCGCGTGGCAACAAATGTGCCGCGTACGGTTCGTGCAGATCTCTTATTACACAAACCCACATTTTAATATTAGGGAGGTTTAGCAAAGACGACGCGACGCCAAAGACGACGTGAAAATGGCGTGGGCACATCCATAAATGGGCACATCACGCCATTTTCACGTCGTCTTTGACGTCGGCAGCGCCTTGGGTAAACCTCCCTATAGTTGCTTTAAGTGTCCTCCAATATAAAGTTTGCGTCATCCGTCTGATTTTGAGTATTTGTGTTTCAGTTTATTGTACCATAATGGCGTGTCTTGTTTCGTCTACAACAAGAAAGTTGTTTTTTAATTCGCGAGGAACAAACATGGGACTTTTATGAGAGGAGGAATATTTAAAGTTAGTAAAGAGGAATATTCATCAGCCGTGCGAAACTCTCCTCGTCATTTTTGACTTTGTGGTTCTAATCAGAAACTCTTTGAACTAATCAGAAGTTTGAACGAATCAAACCTTTATGTGGTTACTAATTCAACGAGGTAATCACTATATGTTGAGCAAACTAAATTCGTGGCCTCGTATAGACTCGACCTTAGCCTCCTCCGCAGGCATCTCACCAGAGTATTTCAACACCCATTCGCAGGCTAAAACCCATAGAGATGCCTGCGGAGGAGGCTACACTCGACCTATTGTCTATTGAAATTCACAGATGAACCAAATCCATATCTAAAACCAGGTTTTTAATTCAAGTCGAAACTCGGGGAATCAATTTCCATTTTAACATCCTCCATTTTAACATCCTCCTCAATCTTGATGCATAATCAGTAGAACAATTGAGTAGAAAGTGGGAAAATGCCTAGTCATTTTATGAAATAATTGTCTTCTTAAGTTAGGGGAGGGATGAAACAAAAAGACGCAGCTTTCTTGGATTCATCATACTTTGAATAATCCACCTGTTTACACATGTATTTGTTAAACGCATAATATAAAACTGTGGCTACTTACAAATTGTGTCGAAGGAGGTATAGAATGAGGAAGATGTTTTGATGATGTCATTTTGCCTGAAGATGTCCGTGTTTCAGTGCTTGGAGGTTCTTTACCACGAGATCTTAAATTTAGCACAACATTCTTTATAACTCCCAATTCCTGAAATTTACAAAAATACATTTTTGTCCGTCAATATAATGCCCTAATGTGTTTCATTGCATGGACGATGTTTGCGACTGTACTTTGGTAGAAAGATTTTTAGAATTATGGTTAATTAATGTATGTTCACAAAGGTAGAACAGGAAGCAGATATTTATACGTATAGTATAAGAACCTCTCGTTGGTTTAGTAATCGTTCAAGATCCGCTGTTATTTTGTTCTTACTCTCAGCGAGTTTATCTTGCTCTTGCTGTAATTTTCTACAAACAACAACATGTCATTAGATCTCTCTCCTCTGCAGAGGCTTCTGTCGGCTATGATTACGATTAGTATTGAGATACATTGGCGGATCTTGAAACACGAACGGATAATTCAGGGGCGGATCTAGGATTTTTCGTACGTTAGTCAAAAATTTCGTTGCTGAACATCGAGGGGGGGGGTGTTCTTTTAACGGGGGGGGGGGTCGCAAAGCGAATTAATTTGTATCCAGTTTTACGAAAAAATGTTACGTGAAAAATTACTGTTTCGCCCAATTCAGGGCTCGTCAGCATGCCTAGGAAACACATAACTCCATATAGCGATGTAGTTTTATAAAACATTTGATTGATTGTTAATTCTCAGGAATAGAATTTCCACGTTTAAATCACTGCTTCTCGAGTTTTATTCATAGCAGAAACATGTGCCATGAATAAGTATTCACAGAGATCGTATTACACAAAGCCATGCCACATTGTCATGTGTTTGTAGTTTTAATATACTAGACAACTAGGCATAAATAATACAGTATTATTAAGTATCTGATCAATATATAAAGCCCACATTCCACAAGAGGCATAAACAAAGTATAAACAAACTGAAACTGCTTGTATTAAGCCGCAGTATTATGTAAATTGACCGAAATATTATGTAAATTTCATCTCTTACTACGTACAGACGCGCAATCACTACAGCCTACAACAGCTATGATGCTATGTGTTGTTCACAGCGCACAATAAGTCTTTAATGGAACGCTTCGGTTACATATCTTTAAAATATTGTTAAGATATTGTCGATCATCTTTCTCTAAAGCAGCCTTTGCGGTTTCGTAAATACCAACAGACATGGCTAGTATTAGTTTAGAACTTCTGATAAATTTTCCGATTGCCATAACACGCACATGCTATAAAATCGGCGGGTACGCGTATAATAATAAGAGACGAAATTTACATAATATTTCAGTCAATTTTACATAAATACTGCTGCTTGATCAGAAAGATCCAGCAACGTCATAGACCTTTCCGTGCATACTATTAGCCTGAACGGTATGATCGATCAAAAAAATCCAGCCAACGGGAATTGAGGATTTTTTGAATTAGCCAATCGGATAGCCTGTATTCGAGCCCCTGATCGCTTTAGCGATCAGAACTCCCCACAGATCGCGCAAAAATCGAGATAGCCAATCAGATGGCTGGAATCTGACTCAGAGCGTGCAAAACTCATGCGTAAGACCGCTTTTCTGCGCGTTCATGTTCGAAGGCCTTGCTACTGGATGATATCTTAGAACTGGACTGTTAAACTTTCAATACAATACACTGCGCGAAGTTTGATAACTGGACTGCTATTTTAATTTAACAACTTTCTGCCCAATTTTTACCTTAGTCGCGTGATCGCTCTGATCACCCCTAGATCCGCCCCTGGTCCTCTCCCGTCTCGTGTATAGGTATAAAAAATATCATATGCTACTTCACCAATGTAATGGAGCAGTAGTGCACGCTTTCGTTTGGGCTCGGTTACATTCATTGCTGTTAAGAAGTTTTCAAAACGGGTTAACCCAATTTTGTCCAACGGGGTCCGGTAGATGCGGGGTCACTGTCCGGTACAAATGGTGTAGGGCAAAGCGCCGGCTTGTACATTCGCCATATCAGCGTTGTTGTTCACTGGTTCTGTTTCTTTCCCGGAACTTTCGCTCATTTGTCGATTTGTAAATTAATCTCTATCGATAATTTCGTACTTTATTTTATAACTTCGTCGCCAATATAATGTTTTATGTATTTATTCCTTTCGCTATATGAATCGTTACAGCTTGTCAATCGCCCTGAATAATGTATTTGTCCTTGCCGGCTTGCCCTATCTTAAACCACACCCCTTACTTATATATTGACTAATTATGTTAATATGAACACTACACTACAGAAATTTGTGAATTTATAATTAAAAATCAAACGCTGTTACAACAATGACATTTTACTAGTCTGAATATGGCAAAGTAGGCCGTAGGATGAGCATCCAAAAGATGCTTAGAAAACGGATTCCGTTGCACCCCTCGTGGAACTACTTTGAAAAACTTACTTTATCAGAATCCGTTGCTCCCCAAGCGAAACAGGTGCACAATTGCGAAAATAATCCCTCCAACGTTCGCTATTTTCCCGCTTCGAAATATTCGACCGCCATTGTTTTGGTAGCAAATACGCATGCGCAAGTCAGCCGAACTCGCACTGCGCACGCGCAGACGCGAGAAATGGATTTTCCCTGTGGGTTTTCCCCGATTTCCCCCGTAAAAACAACAAAATAAAATCACGGAATAAAGATCAAACCTTGTAATATTAACGAATAAATACACACATATTAAATATTGTCTAAAATACATTGTACATTTTGCTTGCCGTGCTATTGTGTGCTGTAGTATAAGTCAATGTTGTTATCCATCACTCTACAAACATGCCCTAATTTCCCCTGTTCCTAAAGTGCAACCACCGAGAGACATTAACAATGATTTCCGCCAGATATCAGTCTTAGCCCATCTTGCCTAGACTTGCCACAAGTCGGCCTCAAGGTCGACTTGTGGCAAGTCTACATCTTGCCAAGATCCTGGAAAAGATCCAGCTCCAGTTAAGTATTGAAGATCTGAAAATTAAGAATAACCAGCACGCGTTTACTTAACATCGAAGCACAGTCTCTGCGTTAATATCAACTACCCAAACCTGGTTTAATGCCACTGATTGTTCAAAAACAGCCAAAATGGGGGTTCATGCAGCCTTCATTGACTTTCGTAAGGCCTTCGACCTTGTGGATCACAATATTCTTTTGAACAAATTAGCAGCTATGAACATAAATAAACCCTTCTGGTTATGGATTAAAGTTTCCTTTCCGGAAGAGTTCAACAAGTAAATCTCAATGGTACCTTATCATCCATTGCAACATGCCCGGCCGGAGTCCCGCAAGGCTCTGTAATATCTCCCATTCTTTTTAATACCTACATTGATGATTTGGAGGACGCCTTACCAAAACAACTAAAAGTCAGTACGAATAAGTATGCAGATGACTGCACACAACACCAAATAGTGAGCGTAGATTCTAATAGTAATTTACAACAATCTATCAATGAAGTAAATAACTGGGCGGTGTTAAATAAAATGGCAATTAATGCTAAAAAAACTAAGGACATGTGGATCTCTTTCACGGACGCTATACGTGAACCACCACGTCTTCGTATTGGAAATGAGTTAATAGAAAGGGTCAACGCTTTTAAATTACTTGGCGTGTCGTTCCAAAATAATCTAAAATGGAACGCACATGTTGAAGAGATTACACGTAAAGCAAATAAACGCCTTTACCATCTTAGAGAATGCAGGAAATCGCAGTTACCAGCTGAAGTCGGTATTATTACCTATCAATCCAAAATAAGACCAATTCTCGAGTATGCATCACCTGTCTGGGCGGGACTCCCTAATTACCTGCGAGATGAAATAGAGCGGGTTCAATCCAGAAGCTTAAGAATCCTTGGCCTGGAAAAAGATTACCTACCACCTTAAAATTATGTATAAATAATTTTAACTTATTGGAAGAACTTATTAGTTTAAAGAACTTATTAGTTTTAACTTCTTAGTTAGTTTTCTAAATTATCTTACAACAATTTGTAATATAAAGACATACCCACAGCATATATACTTTCTTAAACAAGTAATTGTAAGTCCATTCTACTTTTTTATCTTAAGATGGATGAATAAAGCTATTATTATTATTATTAAATCAATTCAATTCAATGGCTATTGTTTCAAAATGCCGTTTTAACGTTTGTGTATCAAACAGGATGGAGGATATTTAAATATACATACAATTCACACGATCAAGAAACAAATGAACTATTTCGCTAAACTAAAGCCTTGGCCAAACGTAAGAAACATTATTGCGGAAGTACTCGCATTCAATGTTTGCTCAAATGGTTCCCCATAGGCGTATCGGCCGGGTAAAAAAAAAATTATGGTCGGGCAAAGTTGATAAGAAGAACCGCGGTCTACAATGAATAATACAATAAATACAATAAATATAATAATGCCAATATTAATTGCTTTTAATATACTTTGCCATATAAAAAGAACACAACTGTATATGAATGATGATGGCTTATGGCAAAGATTATGAAGTTAGTTTTATAGTTAGCATAAATTTTAGAGCAAATTTGGATGCTCAGAATGCAGGAAATTGCATTTCCGCGCTTCAAATTTCATTTTCTGGGGGACTATGCCCCCAGACCCCCTAGGGATTCATGCGTGGTATGTCGGCCACATGGCTATCCCCCACTAATATATTATCTCACAGAAAGGTCCCTTTTCAAAAAATGCTCCCCCCCCCCCACGGGAAAATCCTAATAAAAGGCCCTGATAAAATCTCGAACAAAGTTGTATATGTGCGCTGTGTAAGCAAAGCGGTCGGGCAAACTAATACTGTTCCACCTCCAAACAAGATTAGGCCCGTACGCCCATGTGGTTCCCTGTCTCCCCCATCTGGAAACATTGACTTTTATTGCAGAAACAAAATTTGCTTCCCAGGAAGCAAAAATAATAAAATATTTCCTACCAAATTCACAAACATTTGATGAAACACTCTCACCGTTTGCCGACACTGGTAAGACAATATGACATACCGAAACATTGGTAAGACAAATAATATGACAAATATCCTTAACTTTGCGCATCAAAGTTTCCCGGTTTGTCCCGGGCATTAAGGGATATTTATATAAATTCCTAGGAAAACCTCTGATTGAATCTTTAATTTAATATCGAATAACTATGCAAGATATGTTAGCGCTTCTTAAATTGCATGCGCGTTCCATCCATCGCTTAAGTATATTCTATGGATGCCAATCTTGGATTTGGACCAACTTTTCCATTCGTTCCAACCATCTTTTCCAACAATCTGTTCCAACCGACGAAGCCGGACCAGTGAAGGACCTTTAACTACTAGAAAATACATGCATGCAGAAACCCTCGCCTTGCTGACAAAACCGTTGTATTTTCCGAACATGAAGTATCTAAAGTAGTTGTCATGGTAACACGATAATTTTTTAAGAATATTCTTACAAATGAAAATCGCCTAAAAATATCACTCTTAAATTTTAATTACAAAATTATCAATTTCCCAACATATATATCATGTTAGGTAAACAGGTGGGAAATTTGTCTGAGCGTGCGCGAGCAAAATGAGTCACGCAATTGAGTGGAATACACGCAACGCGTGTTTACAAAAAGGCACAATCGTGTAAATATTGCCAAATGTTTGTACAAAATAAATGACTGTTTTATGTTGAAAAGGGACACGATCTAAATTAATCATACAGAATGTTTTAGTGACGTTCTATGTCAGTACCCTGCCATTGTCTCTGGTGGACTGTCCGTGTGCATTCGATCTGAAACAGTTGCTACTTTGCTGTCGAAAAATTTCGAATGTTTACATGAAAATAGAGGCAAGTCATGCATTTTACAACCTCGTAAACTGTATGAGCCCCTATTTTTACGCTTATACCTAAGATATCAAATAAAAATACATAAAACAGAGAACATTTTTAGAAAGTTTTATCGTGAGGCCACGGCCAGTTTTTAAAATATCTTTATTTCTGTTCCGGTCATCACCAAAATTACACTAAAGCCGGGCTTGAATATACAACAAATTTTGAATTTCGTCAAGTACAAAAATATTTAACGTGTAACCAAAATATGCTCATGAAATCGAAATTAATAGCTAAATTTTCAAACTAGACCCTTCTCGAAGCGGTTTTCATGAAGGAAGTTCACATTTCGGCCTTTGATTCTTGGCAAAAATTTGACCACAACACGTGCGAAGCAACTGGGTCTCAAAGACTCAGCTAAAACATTGTGAGCCCCTATTTTCCTGACGATATGTTTGATACCTACAAACGCCGAAAAGTTTTTTCTTTTCATTTAGCTATATTTGAAATTGAGGCCACGGGCTATTTTTGAGAAAATACAGTTCAAAGTCAAGCTATTTTTACATATTTTCAAAATTTGTCAAATTTCGCGAGCTTGTATTTTGAACTTAGACAGCTAAAGTTACATTAAGAAACATAGGATGGAAAATTTGAGGCATATAAAGTTAATTTCAACTTACATTTCATTCTCATATCATGTCTTTCTTCGTTTATTACGGTTTTAAACAAGCCACCGATCGACGTATACGGTATTTACTCCCATGTTCACGTCGCCATATTAAATTCTTCCAATCACTCCATTACAAAACAAATCATCCCAAAACAAAGAATTCATAGTCAACTTTTAAAAGAATAACCGTTAATTTGTAAATCGTTGAATGGAAAGCAAAAAATCGTCAGCTAAAACAGCTTCTTGCTAACTTTCTGCTTTGTTTTGAATGTAAATGCAATGAGCTTTGTTTCTGCCCGCGATTTTTTGGTCAGCGACGACAAATTTCCCACCTGTTTGTTCAGCCGTTCCGCACGTTGTAACCAATAATTTATTGGCGTTGTAATGCCATTGTATGCAATAAAGTATTGGTTACAATGGATTTACAATTAATCCAAACGCTAATCCTAACTCAAACCCTAACCCTAATCCTAACCCCTAACCCTAACCCCACCTTCTAACCCCTAACCCTAACCCCACCTGCTAACCCCGCAACCTAACCGCAAACCCTAACCCCGGCCAGCTACCCCTCCGGCC